ACCCCTCCACCGCCATGCTTCACCCCTCCACCACCGTGCTTCATCCCTCCACCGCCGCCCGAGATGTGTACTCTGATACGACGTGTGAAATAAATTTTCTCACGCATGAGGTTTAATTTAAATAATTATAAAACCCAGGATGATTTTTATTATGTTCTAATATGCCAAACCGTAAAACTGAAGGAGGTGGTACTTTCATTTTAGATTTTTAAACCATCATTTTAAGTTGAAATGTTTTGTCAGTTCCTGAAACAAGTGATGCTCTTTGATCAGTGTGATGTTGTAAGGAGGTCCTTAATGAGTCAGATGTTTATTTGACCTAGAAAGCTGATTTTATCTTGAAAAGCGCTGATTCAGCAGTCTGTTTGAGGACAGATTTGATCAGAGTTTAGATTAATTCCTTCTTTGTGGAAAAAAGCAGCCTGTCTGTCAGACAGTATAATGTTTCTAAACTTATGGAGAACAAACAGCGTCATGGACATGAAGGTGTGGAGGAGTTTTATATTTATATGCATATATTTGTTGCATTTATGGTAAGAAACCCTCTTTATCTGTAAATATGTTTTACCCAAAATTCATCAACTGGTATTTTTTTTAATATCTGCTTAGTTGCAATACACTAAATACATTCTCCGTCATTACATTTTAGAGATTAAAATGTTTATTTTAGTATTTAAAAAAGGATTATTTGTTTATTTTCATTTTTTTATGTATTTATAATATTTTACAGAAAAAGCTTTAGTGGTTAAATAAGAAATCAGCAGAATGTGCCAATTTCTCTATCCGATTAATCATCAGAATATTCAATAGCTCAGTTGATTACTAAAATAATCATCAGTTGCAGCTCTGCTTCTGCTAAGACAGTTTCCTCTGTGCGTATTAATCCATATTAAAGTATATGTAATGTTTGAACTGGTAAGATAGATAAGAGTCTGAAGTAGATGGACGCCATGTCGGAGTGACAGGAATCCACACGGAAAACATTGTTTAGAAAACAAGGTGGAGGCAGCATCATGCTGTGTGGACGCAGATGAGAATTCAGATGGATTTATGCACAAGACTGTCCTGGAAGACAATCTCCTGGAAGCAGGTTCATTTTTCAGAAGGGCCTAGTCAAAGTCCAAGCCTCTTTCTCAGTTGCTCTCCATCCAATCTGTAGCTTCACTGAATACAAATACTTAAATATTGTAGTTTCCTTCCACTTTGTCCTGGTTTGTGGCATAAAATCCTGCTGCGGTTCAGGTTGTAAAAGTGACAGAAAGTGGAAACGTTTCCTGGGAATGAAAATGTATGAATGGCTGAATGTTGGCGGAGCGCTGCAGTTCGATGTGCGGCCAGCGCAGCCTGTCAGATCAGGCTCAGCTGCAGCTTGGTGACACTAGTGAGGTTTAATGAACGATGCCAACAGGCTGTATTGTGGCTAAAGTGTGAACCGCTCCGAATTCTCAACCATAATCGAGAATCAAGAACAAGAAACTTAAAGCTCCTCAGTATGAAACTGCCCTGTTTTATTCCCACCCCAAAACAAATAGTGTGGTAAATGTGAGATGAGTCTCCAAGCTGACACCAAATCAGCAGCGTGTTGGTGTAGAAATCCCTCCAAGAGCAAATCTAAACAAACTATAGATGAAGAGAAACAGGAAAACCAGCTCATTCCTATTTCCTGTGTAAGCGCGAAGCTGCTCAAACCACAGACATAAAGATATAGCTGGCAGGAACTTCATAATAATCTCTACACAATATGTTTGCCTCAGAATGATGCGACTGCTGGCAGCTGCAGCAGCAGCAGCAGAAGAAGAAGAAGAAGAAGATCGCACCACAAACTGCAGCAGCAGCACCAAACCTGCTGCTTCAAACACAAAGATGGTGGATTGGAAACAATTTACTGCCATCCATTTATACCCCCCCCCCACACACACACACACACACTCTTAACGACTGAGTGCGTCTGTAAGAGAGCAAATGTATACGAGGACAATGCAAACGCTCGGCACCCAGAGTTAGAAAACCACTCATCTAAATCAGGGAAATTATGATAATGGAGAAACTCATTATTCTCCCACTGACTCCGGATCAGTTTCTGACGTTTTATTCACACAAACTGATTGGACGGCATAAAGAGGAAGATGATGCTTCAGAACTTTCTCATCTTCACGGGGCTGAAGCCTCTCCAGGCAGGAAGCCGGGCGCTCAGGTAGGGGTTACACGGGGTCACAGAGGTCACCATCCTGGACAGCGGCGCCGCACGCTCACGTCCTCGGGTCACTCTGTGGAAACATGGGAAGCATGTCGTGTCCAAAGTGTGGCTCGGGGGCCATTTATGGCCCTTGAAATGATTTTGTTCGGCTCCTGACCACAAGTCAGAACTGGTGAAAATTCAACCTTTTTCTATTTTGTAATAGAAAATAATGGATGACACAAAAATCTGCTTTTCTTTTAATAAGGCAAAAGTCCAAAGTCCTTTTTATGTTCTGGCTCTTTAATGACGAGCAGATTTTTATAAAAATGTTGTTTATTGTTGAGCAGGAAAACATAAAAAAAGATCACAATAAACACATTATTTCATTTTTAATTTAATACATTTTGTGGCCCGCCATTAATTTAAAAAGTTTGGACATCACTCATGTGTATGTGTCAAACTGAGGGTCCGTGGGCCAAATCCGGCCTCCAGAAGGTTTTATGCGGCCCTCTAGACTCAAGATTACAGCTGTTTTTAAATATTATATTTTATCAATAAATCAACAGTTTGTCTGTATAATACAAGATTACACAAAGGTGAAAATATGTTTAACTTTATGTCCAATAGGAACTCATTGAATGGAGGAATAGTTATTTATTTATATTTTAGCCTTTTGTTAATAGGTTTAGATCTTGATGAGGCTCAGAATGAAACTGAGTTTGAGACAAATGTAGAAAATTCAGACAAAAGTAAAAAATACTGCACAGTGGCAGCATTATGCTGTGAATTTCTCCCAAATTCAAAATAAAGGAATACTGTCAATTTTTCAAAACAGGAAATGATACAACGTAGAAAAACAACAAAAATAGAGTTTATGATCATATTTAAAAAACAAATTATTTTGGTTTTAATCGAACTAGAGACAGAAATCCCAGGGAGCATCCGACCGTTGCTGCAGACCGTTAATCAATCCAAGAGCCTGTGTTTCTCTCTGCCGGGGAAAACGCTGGGAGGCCAGCCTAATCAGCAGAGGAAACAGATCTGAGAGGGTGTCAGGCACCAGGAAAATGGATCTGGGTTGTGAAAAACCACCGTTACCACGAGCTGCTCTGGATTCAGCCATCTGGAGATGCCTGCTCCAAAAGCCAGTAAAGTTTGTTGAACTGGGGCCCAGCTAGGAAACAGGTTTCCACCTCCTCAACAGACAGCCAGCTCTCCCAGAGGGGAACGGCACTTTTCTTTCTTTTTTCGCTCTGCAAATGTTTGATGTCTGTCGTCATGTGAAAAAGGTTTTATTTTATTTTATTTAGATATATATATTTTTTACTGATTTTAGAGAAGGTTTAATGATTTGTTTTAACTCCAAGTGTCCAACCTGTTTATCTTCTTCCTTTGTTTTTTAAGCCTCACTCTTCTTAGTATTTTTAAATAATGTTAAATAAGAATTTCTTCTTAATAACTCAGCTGGTTTGATAAAAGTCAAATTAATGAATACAATACAGACAGATGCTGATTCAGATCCTTATATAGGTGGAAGTAATGCCACTTAATTAAACATGCACAAAAGAAAGATAGAAATACTAAATAATATGACAAGAATGCAAAATAAGACCAATATTTTATGGTTCTTAAATCACAAAGCTATACAAAAAACAACAGGAATAATTTACAAAAGCTAATGTCATTTTTAGTGTTTTTGTCTTGTTGATTTGACCAAATGTGTTTACTTTCTGATCTGTTTATTGGACTATGTCATGCTCCGTGTTTCTGTGTATTTATTTTAAGGTTTTTCTGTGTCCAGTTTCTGTCCTGAGTCTCTGTTGTCTCTGCGTCTTCCCCGTTGATTGCTTCCCAGGTGTGTCTAGTTACCTGATTACCCTCCCTGTATTTAAGTCCACCTGTTGTCTCTGTCTCTTGTCGGGTCCTTGTCAAACATACATCATATGTCATTTGTCTGCCTGCCAACACAGTAGAACTGTAAAGTCCTGTGTTGGTTTAGCTCTCTTTTCCACTCCTTAGTTTTTCAGCTGCTACCGGTAATTAGCTGTATGCTAACTCTCTGCCGTGCCGCCTGTTCTGGACTGTTGAGCTTTCTTCATTAAATCTATCATCATCTTTATCACAACCTGGGTCTCTGCGTCTCTCCTCACCACCTCGCAACCACCAAACATGACAGACTAATTTTCTTATTATTATTATTTTTTTTTTTACTTTATTTTGTGACCTGTTAATGCAGGGATTGGGAAGCGCCTTCAGAACATTTTTTTTCTTCCCCGTTTCTCTCAAAATAATAATAATGTATTAATTTCTAAAAATGTTTAATGTGAGTTAAGTTTTCATTCTAACGTCAATAAAGTGAGAGCAGGTACGTTGAAGCCAGCTGTATGACCTCTTGTCTCCCTATAGTGGAGGTTTTTGATCGGCCAATGTTGACTTTTTGTTGGTTTTCCAGCTCAAACACACATAAAATATGTTAGGGAGGAATTTTTACTGAGTTTTAAAAAAGATGGAGTATTTATTGTTAATTGTCTTTAGTATTAAATGGGACTACAAACATCCAGTGATTTTTACTGAAGGGAAGATTTTCGTTTTAACTTTGTGGAATAAAACAAGTGATCCATATCTGATCTTAAAAATGTAAATCAATCCAAAAAAAAAAATTTCTTGTTTTTTTTATCAGGCAAATCTGCATGTAGCGCACAAAACATAAAAGTTTTTTGCCATTTTAATAAAAGAAAAAAAAATTGCAGCTACTGAGAACTTTCAACAGGACAGTTTTGACCTTTAGTGGTGAAATGTTTGACACCACTGAATTCAGATAACCTTCATGTTTTTGGTCTGTGGGAGGAAGCCGGAGTAAAAGGTCAGGATTTGAACCCAGGACCTTTTTACTGCCAGTGATTTGTAATAAAGAGTGCTGCTCACCCAGAGATGGAGACCTCCTCAGCAGCAGGGGGAGCATGGACGCCTTTGCCTGTGAAGGCTGGCATTGTGGTCCGACTGGCACAGAAACAGAAATAAACTCTTACAGGTCTCTGGATATTTCTGTAAGACCAACAAGCTTAATAAATAATAGCACAAGAACAGGTTTTTGGACGCAGCATGAGTCTCACTGCGCTGTCGGTGTGTACGACGGAGTGACGCTCCTCTTCACTGTTAGAGGCTGGAAATCTGCCTCCATGTTGTCAATGTCGTCCATGTTCTCTGAGCCAGTTGTTCTGCTGTCAAGACATGAGACCCCGCTTACATTCATTCATTCATTCCCCTCAGGAGTCATTTTCTGACTGATTTTTAGTCTCTAAGGTTTGTGTTGTAGTGTTTGACCTCACAAGGGATTTTTGGTCAACTTGCCAAATACTTTAAGCAAAAGTCAAAAACATCGAGTCTGAACAAACAAGGGAGTGTATGGATTCCAGCACAAGAGGAGATAATCAGAACTGGAAGCTGAAAAGGACCTAAAGTGGAAATTATGCATGTGATAACTCTGTGACACGTTATGTTGGGAAATGCTATAGTGTATTGGGATGTTTCCAAGAACCCTTTTTGATATATTGTCCAGAGATATGATTTTCTATGATTGGACCAATATTTCCTCAGGGTTTGGTTTTCCTGACTTGAGCTGCAGTTTGACATAAAATCTTCACAGTTCAGCTGAAGTTCAGCCTGCAGAGTTTTTACTCCTGAAGCATCAGCACCTCGAAGACGACCGCAGGATTCAAACCTGTGTGGGAAAAACCTGCTGGATTTCAAACCTAATGGGATTACCTCCAATGGATCTGAAGGTGGTCAGACACTACAGGATCTTCACATCTTCTTAAGCTTTTCAGCCAGATTGAGATCTGGACTTTGACTGGTCCACAGCTACACTTGATTCTTCTCTTGTTCAGACCTTCTGTTGTAGATCTGCTGCTATATTTGGAGTCTGTGTTTTATTTATAACACGTTTTAGACCAGATTTGACTCTGCAGTACTTTGGTGTAAAGAGGAGTTCCTTCTTGACTTAAGTTAAACACATTCAGTAACAGCAAACCAAGCCTTTTTGAACAAAACCATATTTGGTTTTCTACAAATATACTCTGTGCATCATAACCAAACATCTCTTCTGTCATTTAAAACATGTTTACAGAAATATTTTTGTTCATCAAGATGTAACTTTGCAAACGTAAGTACATTGCTGTTTCCTTCTAAAGATTCATTACAGAAACTTTCCCTTGATTTGTTCTAAACAAATCTTACTTATTCAGACTTTTTCTTATTTTCCTGCCATTAACTGAAGCACAAAGAATCCAACATGGACTTTTGGAAAGAGCAGCATCTTGTAAATATTCTGTGAAAAGATGGATTTCAAGCTGTCTGGAAGTGGGTAGCAACAGATCTTTGCTTCACTAAGATCTTGTGCATTGATTAGCAGCACCTGGCTGCTGCTTTTCCTCTTAAAGTCAGTGAAAGCAGCAGGAATGTACCTTGTTTTCCTCATAGTAATCCCCAAAACTCACGTAAATGAAGGGATTTGACCTGATCTTGCATATCTGCTGCAGCTGCAGGAAAAGCAAAACAAACAAAAACACTTCTGTTGGATTTCTGATTGAAATGAACTCAGAAACACAGACTCCACCAAAAACTGAAAGCGTACAATGAAATGGGTTTCCTGGCGTCGTTCCTGCGTCGAAGTTGTCGCCGGTTCCACTCAGCGCCTGCAGACTGGAGACGCACAGCAACAATCAATCTGAGAGCAGCATCTGACTGCAGAAACATCTTACTCTGACAAACAAACCACTGATTTAGAAGAATGAAAATAAACACAGGCGCTGATTTGCTTAAAATGTTTTTAAAATACTGTTTTGAGAAATTGGGGCCAGATTCGGTCAACTTTTCAATTCTACATCATGATTTAGTAGTTTAAAACAGTTTAGAAAAAATGTTTTTGTCTTTTTTATATAAAGTAAATACAAAATAAGAAAAAATATATATTCTCCCTCATTTTAATTACACTGCAAATACACAAAATATGAGTATTGTTGGTCTAATTTCTTGTACAAATGAATGAGTACGCTTGAAAAAAGATAAAACTGACTATCAGTAACTTTTCAGGAAGACAGGTTATAGTTTTAAATAAACAATTCCATCAATACTGATTGAAAAAAGTAATAGCTCCACTGGCAAACTCAAAAGAAAACGTATTTTTAAAGACAAGTGAAATAATCTGCCAGTGGAACTAGTACTTTTTAAATCAATACTAAATGAATCATTTACGTTAAAAGAACTCCCATATCTTGCTAAAAATATTTGTAAGTTTGTTTTGTTTTAATTCAAGTGTACAAAGACATTTGCAGTGTAAACTAGATTATTTCCATTAAATAGCCTCAAGCTAATTACAGAGCAACAGATATTCAGTTTTTCGGTGCTCCGGCCCTTTAAGAGAAAGGAGTGAAGTAAAAATGGAGGAATGGTCTAGATGTGATGTCAGTCAGGACAGAGCTCACCTGCCACAGCTGAGGCCTGCTGCTGTAGCGCCGTGATGAGGTCCGCTCGCTCACAGGGTCGGCCCGGCGCTCCAGGGTCGCTCCAGCTGCATTTGGGGATCTGGAGAACTTCATTCCCCAGTTCACCTCCTCATAGCTCCTATCAGGACAGTTCAGGGTATCGGTTCGGGTTTGTTTCCCCTCTTTCATTGCATAATCTCAATAGGCAGCCTGAGATGATCTGATTCTGCTCCATTTCATCTGCATGGTTTCTCTGCGCAGCTCTGAGCGTGAACAGAGGCTACAAGGTTTGCTGATGACATCACTGGAGCGCAGGATTTAACCTATTCACTCTGGATTACTCCAAAGGCAGAATGACACTCTGCAGGCTTTACATAATGGCGCGTGTGGGAGGGGAGCTTTGTTTGGCTTTATTATTAGATGTCACTGTTTTCTGACCTCTGAGTGGAAGAAGTGTAAATGTAGCGTCGGAGCGCCGCTGAGTCATCGCTGCACGAGCAGCAGGCCGACGAAGAGGAGGAGGCCTGATGGAGAAGAAAGTTTAGTGGAGGAAGATCACCAGAGGTTCAGAAAGAGAAGTACAGTCTGTTCACAAAACAGAAGAGAGGAACGACGAGGATGATGGTCATCCATCCATCCATCCCTCCATCCATCCATCCCTCCATCCATCCATCCGTCCGTCCATCCATCCCTTACCTTTCTAGTCAGTGATCTACAGATTTTTCTCCTGATAACTTCAGTTATAATATTCAACATAAAAATCATAAATCAGGAAATGTTCTCAAAGTGAACCACCTGGCTGACGATGTTTTATGGATAATACTTCACTCCAGCTATAAAACACAAGTCATTACTTCAACATTGCATTAAAAAAAAACTAAACTGTGAAGTGTGAGCATCAATTGAAAAAGAGGCTGAATGTCAGGAGTTAATGAACATTTTGGATTATTCAGTTTCTCCATCTGACAACAAAAACACATTTCAGAGCTGGAGAGTCGGTTTGGTCATTACTCACCAGATGCCCGGCGTGTTTTTCAGGGAGGCTGCAGAGCGTTGCTGCTGTCCTCTGTGACTGAGTGGGAACGGCTGAACCTTGGACTGACACAACAGCGTTCAAGTTTCAGCACCAAACGTGAATCATGATCATAGACTGAGCTCAGATCAAAGAAATGCTTAAAATCAGGGACAACGTCTCACCAAATTATACAAGGTTTTAAAATGTAACCTTTAGCTGAGGTTTAATAAATAAAAACTAAAATTGCCCTAAAGTCTTGTTTTTGCTCTTTGCTGCTGTTTTAAATTCTGACAGTGAAGCAGCCATTAGCTATAATGGCTGTGATTACAGGTGAACGCTAACGGAGAGCCAGTGGATTGTTGCTTTTTCAGCCCAATTATGTGTCTCTATACCATTTCATTTGCATTCCCACTCTGCAGTTCCACTTTACATTAATAATGTCTTGTTTTTAAAAAGAAAGAACATTTGTATTTCTTATTTTTTACAACTTTTAGAAGGTTTGAAACAAAGGTGAATCGCTACACTAAACCACCAACAACTGATTATAAATCTGTCATTATTTTACAGTAGATATCTAAAACCTAATCTAAATTATTTCACCACCCAGTCTTGATTTTGTTGCTGCATCAGAAATCCTCCTGGAGTCACAGAAAATACTCCAACTCTGTACTTAAGCAAAAGTACAAATAAATAATAAAAAGTACAACTCTAACATTTTTTTACTTGAATAAAAGTACTTGCTTTTAAAAAATACTTAGAGCATTGAAAGTAAATGTATTTCTCAATTATTTGGAATATCATTAACTGTTTGTATATTTTCTTTAATATATCAATGTGCCATTTTAATGATCAATGCTGCAGATAATCCATGTTTTCACAGATGGATTTGTGAATTTCAGGGATGACCTACAAAGTTAAGTACCTTTAACTCAAATAAAAAATATGGATAATTATACCTTTAAAGATTTTATTTAAAACAAATCAAAATGTGTTATTTTAACTGCAGAAAATACATTCAAGTGAAAGTTATGCACAGAGAAATGTACATTAGACACACCTAACACAGGATCGTTTCCACTGACGTTTCAACTTGTCAACAGTCCACAGTTAAAAAATATAATACCTTCAAGTTTTTTATGGATTATTAGTGAACAATATTTCAATTTCCTGACACCTTTTCTAAAACTTGGACCCAAAGGTGATTTTTTGATGTTGCGATATTGTCTGTAAATCTGAAAATGTCTGTGCATCTGCACCAAGTGTGTAATCTGTCACTTTCTATCACCATTTAAAAAACACATTAAAGATGGAAAATATTCTTTAAATGAGACCTGTGATATGATGTGAATGTACATGTAACGCAACTTTATAGAAATGCAGTGGAGTAGAAAAGCAGAATTAAATCTACTTTAGTAAAGCACAGATGTAAAGTAACAAAGTGTTTGCACTCCACTGGTTAGGTCAGCACTAACCTGAAAGGCTGGCAGTTGTTTGAGGCCTTTTCCTGAGCCACTGTGAAAACGGATCTATAAACTCTGTCCGGCTTTGGATCCCAAGCTGCACTCTGGCTCCTGCGCTCAGATGGCCGCTGCAGGGGTCCAGCAGGGGGACATCGTCTCTAAACGGAGCCAGGGCAACGGGCTTCTGAGAGGCCACACGTCCAGTTCCCGGCTCATCCCTCCTTCCTGCTCTGCACAGACCAGAGCTCAGCCTGTTGATCACTTTTATCTCTGTGGGAAGAGACGAGAAGGGATTCGAAGCTGCAGCCATGCTACAGGATGTTTTGTTTCAGGCGTTGCCTGGAGACTGTTGTTTTCTGCTCTGATCAAATGACATGCGGAGAGGCCGTGAAGATGCTGCTGCACATGCGATGCATACAAACACCTCTGATCGAACCGCTCAGGCAACCACCTAGAAAATACATTAAATGGACTCACATTTAGTCAAACCAACACTAAACCCTTCTTCCATACTGCAATGCGCAGAACATTCAGTATGTCTATATGGTCTTTCTATGCTCTGATGATCAAAATGTTATTTTATCTTGCTAATCAAGGAACTTGCTAAGCTTGTGATCATAACTCTGAAATAGAAACATGCCATTTTTCAGCAGAAAGATAACACATGAAGTAGTAACCACTTCTAGATAGTTTTATCTGCAACTGCAAGATCTCTGGTGATTAAAGGATGATGTAGTAAAAATAATCTATGTCATTTCTCTTAAAGGTTAACAGAAAAACGTGTGACGTCTGACCTGGAAGAAAGAAACGAAAAAGACACAAAAAAGACCCAATAAATGTTCTGCTGATCAATCTGGTCCAATTTGGTGGAGTAATAATTTTTACTTACATGGCACACTTTGTTATTCTTGTTTTGATATATTTTATAATCAATAAGTTTCTCTCCATACCGACAATTTTATGTCAGAAAAGGCGTCTTCCTGTCAGTTCCATCATGGTGGTTCAGTCATGGCCAATTACATTTAATTTATTATCATTTCATCATTTATTATCATTTGTGTTTTTTCTGATACTATCATTTTCAGGTTTTTCCCTTATGTTCCCTTTGCTTTCGCCTCATCCTGCCCATCTGTTTATAGTTTACTCATTTACCTTCCCAGCTGTAACAACTCACCTCTAATTAGCTCTTCCCGTTTCTTTTGTGACTAGCTGCGTTTTATTTACCATATAATTGCGCAACTTGACATTTAGAAAATAAATGCTCTCAATGGAAACACGGATATTTTGACAACTGTTTTCTTTAAAACGTTTTCCCGCATCAAAATTGGTTTATTTAACAAAACTGCAATGAAAGACTATTTTCCCGTCACATGAATCACATGATCAACAACCGGATGTTGTCATTGGCGCAAACCACGAAGAAGAAGACGGCAGGAAGTGGTAGGAGGATCGTGGTGCGGCATGTGCTTTAATAAGTTATTGTGTGAAAAAAACATATTTTACTGAGCGCAGTCAAAAATTGTTTTTCAACAGTTTGAATATAACGCATCTGCCTCCTCTTTTCAGTATTCCTAACCTTCTCTGTTGCTTCTGCTGTTTTGCTTTTGTTTGTTTAATCAACCATTTTAAAATGGATGTTAGTGTGATTAGAATTAATATAATTATTGATTTTTGTGTAATTAATTAACAAAACAAAACCACAGTCTAACATGCTACGAACCATCTCCATCTGTATCTTTGAGTAGGTCAGACTGATCAAGTTTTGTATAGTTTAACGTCGCCCATCAGTTCTGCTACACCGTGTGTGTTTGATCTGCTGCAGCTGTTATATTTCCACAACCTGCAGCGACTAATGTATCATAGGGAGGAAAATGTGTTGCAGTGAGGAGCAATTATTATCCACAGAAAGCTGCGACACAAAAATGTGTTTTGGTGGCAAATGATAAACATAAGGTTTGACCCTGCCTCGGGGTTGTTATATTTTATTTATTTATTTATTGTCTGGCATTTTTTTAGAAGGTGTCTGCCGTTTCTCCGCGTGACCACTAGATGGCGTAATAGAGCCTGTGTGGTGAATAACGCCAGAGGTTAATCTGTGCATGCTGCTCTGCTGTTGAGTCATTACAATGCGGTGCACAGGTATCAATTTTATTCAAATAAAAATGATTAAGCAACTCCAGTATCCATCAGGTTCCTCCCCAAACAAATGTGAAAATGAGTTTTCAAACGAGCTGGTGTTGGCTGAAAGAACAACTTCAAATATGAGCTGTTGTAAAGTCCTGAACGTACTAAATGGAAAATATGTAAATTGCATGAAGGCAAAAATAGTTTTTAAGCAAAGGGAGTAATCTGGTGAAGGAGCGAGCTTGAAAGAGCCGTCTTCCAGTCAACCAAGCAAGGAAACAAAAATATTATATGCCTCTCTGTCTACTAATTAGTCTGCTTTTGTTGTGTGAAATTAGTAGAAAGGGAGTAAATATGCAGTTTAAGCATATAGGTGCGGACAAAGGCGTGAGCCCCCGCCATGCGTGGCTGGTGAAGGCCGGCTGATTGGTGGCATTCTTCTCTGGAGGTGTTTGTTTTAAAGTTAATGTGTCAGAGGCGATGATGGTGATGCATGCTGATAGACGAGTTTTTTCCCCCCTTATTTTTTAACTCGAGCCTTCATTAGCAAATGTAAACACCCAAGAGCTGTTGAAAAGGGGGAGTAAAAATAGCCTAATTAGAGTTATTCTGATAACTGAGTTGTGAATATGCCCACAACTCCCACACAATGCCCCCCCTCACCCAAACACACACACACACACACACCTCACACAAGAGAGCAGAGCATCAGGGATCAAATGCAGCCTGTTTTAAATCATTCTTCAAATAAAAACTAAGCACTTATCTGCGTCAGTGAAGGAGTTTATAAGAAGTCTGAGACAAATTCTTTGAATGAAAATGGCTCCAGAAGTCCAAAGGTTTCAAAGTCCACTATTCCAAATTCTGCATTCATCTTATTGTTTTGCTGTTCTGCTTTAAATCTCATCTTCTGTTACATTTTGTAAAGCAGCCTAAGTCAGAGTTGACTGTTTTCTTTTCCTTTTGCAGAGGATCAGACATTCCTGGAGTCATTACAGACCTTGTTACTTTCCCCTGTGTTATTAGTCAGCTTGTCTGCCATTCTCCAGACTTCTCCACCATCTCAGAAATTATTTAAATCTCAAATCTTGCCCACGGTGCAAAGCAGCAGCAGCCACTAATTTGCACAGGCTGAATTCATCTGAGAGAAACTGTTGCTCCAGATTGAGAGGCGTTGTTGTTGCAGCTGCTGCTGCAGAGAACCAACAAAGCCCAGATGAAGCTGTGAATGTGTAGTTCTGTTCATCTGAATCTGAGCAGTTCTGGGTTTGGTTTCCATGCCGAGGTCTGTTCCTCTGCTGGAAGGGTCACAGTACAGAGAGTTGGATCAGTTTCAAAAACTGAGCTGCACGAAATGTGATGTAGTGACTATTTAAGGGACTGAAATGGAGGATTTAAAAAGCAGCACATTCTGAAAGTTTCAGGCTCTAATTTGGTAATGCAGAGATCCATAACTCAGAGGGGAGAGGCTGCTGGCTGAATCACGCACATTATGGAAGAGTGTCAAGAAGAAAGTGATTCTTTAAAGAAGGCTTTTAGAAGAACAGCGCTCCAGGCAGTTTAGACCAAAATTAAGCTTCAACACAGTAAAATATGGCAGTGGCTGCATCATCCTGTGGGAATTCTGTTGTTCAGTGGAGACAGGGAAGCAGATCATGCTCAATAGGAAAATGGATGGAGCTAAATCGAGGACAATACTGAAAGAAAACTTCGGGATGAGATGGTTTAAACTAAAGCATTTTCATGTGTTAGAATGGCATAGTCAAAGTCCAGACTTAAAACCAATTGAGAATCTTTGGTAACACAACAAAACTGATGTTTACAGATTCCCTCATATGCAGACCTTCTCAGCTGGTAGAGTGATGACCATAAACATCCCTGAAAATTTGGTAAGTATTAATTCAGGTGGGGCTGAGCCCACATGCTTGCCACACTTTTAAGATTTTTACTTCCCTCTCCTTTCATACATATACAAATGTGTAACATATTTCAAAAAGACCAAAAACATATTAAAATGTGTTTTAAGTAAACAGTTCACAGGTTCTCTGACTTGATAAATACAACCTGAGGTAAAAGTTTAAAAAGTTTTATTTATTAGTGATAATAAAATACTAAACAGTTTTCCTTCAGTTGCCCAAACTTTCCAAAAACAAATTACTCAACACAAGAACAAAGGGAAAAAAATCTTCTTGTGACTTTTGGTCATTGCAAATCAAAGCATATTCATGTACTGTAATGGACTAGTCAAAGTCCAGACTTCAATCCAATTCAGAATTTGTGAAAATCTGGCAAATTGATCTTAGATGAGCTCTGTCCAATCTAACTTGGTTTTGCAAAGAATAAAAACAAAACATCTGCAGTCGTAAAGTTTTATGATTTGAGTAAAAATTCAAGGACATGCCGCACTTTTCAGAATNTTATTTATAAAAATAAATATCAATTTCACAATGATTTATATCATACATCTAATTAAAACACATTCAAGATTATGATTTGACTGAATAAGCAAAGGCCAATGCGGTACCAGTAGATTTAAATGAGACTCTATAAGAACCAATCAGAACCAAACATGTCATCATAACTGAAGTTTTAACGAGCCTCATCTGCGCTTCATTTCATTACGTAAAGCGCGCGCTGCCAGCTCCCCGTCCGTTTGTCTTGTCAAACGATGATAACGCGAGAGTTTATTAATAGCATAAAGGCCCCGAGGTGCGGATCAGGGGTCACACGCATCACGCTGTAAAAGACAGACAATTGATTACTGTCCAATGAGCGCGCATGCATAAGACTGGCCGGCACGCGCTCGGTCTCATGCCGCGCGTGGCACCTTCAACCATTTGGAAAAATCCAAGCAGAGCGTAGAAGAAGCTGGAGAGTGGCCCCGGGCCTCGGTGCAGCGCTGCCTCGCTGCCCTCGGTGGCTCCAGCTCCCCGCTTGTCGCACTCACTTAGCTCAGCGGAGTAATGAATCCGCCGCTGTGCATTTTTCATGAGGGAGGCGGGGGAGAAAAGTCTGCTCCTTATGATGCCTTTAATATGGAAGTCTTCACACGCCGCGCCCCGCAGCGCCCCCTGCGGGCTTCCAGGAGCCTGCATGATGTTTAATGTTAACATTCCCCCAGGGGGGAGTCAGCACGGCGCAATGTCACTTTCAGTGATGAATATGTTGACTGCAGCGCGCGCACACTCTGCTGGAGATCAGAACCGGGTCTGGATTGAACACCTGCTTCAATCTGGAGGGAGATACTGGAAATAAATGGGAGTCAGCCAGTTAATCGCTGCGACTTTCCAGAAACGGTGAATTATTCAGAATGAAAGGGAGATGAGACCATTTAAATTGGATTTGCAGTTTGGACTGGATTTCTAGAACCTGGGAAAGATGGCGGCTCTGCACTGGAAGCCATTACTGGACAGCTCAGCTGGAAGAAAGGCCCACTGATGGAGGAGGGGCAGAGAGAGGGAGGGAGAGGAGATTTAAAAAATAAAGAGCGAAACAAAGCAGAAAATCACAACAGAAAACATAAACACAACGGTTACGCAGCAAGAAGGAAGGAAGCAAGGAAACAAGGAAGAACCTAAGGAAGGAAGGAAGGAAGGAGGGAGGGAAGGAGAAGGAAGGAAAGAATGATGGGGGGAAAAATGAAGGAACTGAAGAATGAAGGGAGTATTCATTCTTTAAGGAAGGGGAAAGAAGGAAGGATGAAGAATAGTATGAATATAAAACCAAATATAAAGGAAGATTTTCTCAAGCATGGATGAATAATAAAAGCAACTCCAGGTATATTTTTGATGAGGGAATAAGATTATAACATGATATAGAGCTCAAAATAGTTGATTTTACCTGATATTGCCTCTTTAATGTTCCTGTTCCTCTAGACCAGGGGTGTCAAACTCAGTTTCACCGAGGGCCACTTCAGCATTTTGGCCCCCCTCAACGGGCCACATTGACG